TTTGCAATGATTAAGCACAGATTAATTACATTCTCAAAATGAAAAAGAAATTTGAAATGTAACAAAATAGAGAGACAATGGATTAATTGTATATGGCCAAAATAATTATTTATGAGAAATGAATGAATTACGTAAACAATATGATTACTATTGAATAGATGGTGACAATTTACACCATCTTTAGATTTATCGGTCGGCGGCTTCTCACAAAAACAGGAAAGGATTTGCTTTTATTTCTGGTAAAATTTGATCTCATTAAGTACTAATTAAATCACTATTCCTCAGATGATCTCATTAACATACGAAAAAAGTTGCAAAATGCAAATGTCTCCTCAGTGTTATTTAAAGTTACAAAGTATAATGGAAAATATGACGAAATATTTCATTGCATACATAGGAAGGAAGAAAATGAGAGAATGAATGGCTGATTCTGCTAAAGTTACAAAGATGGAAAAAATCAAGCTTGCTCTTTAAAAGATTTAAACAATTTATCAATGACTAATATTAGTCTCAATCGTTGGGAAAAAATAAAGTTAAATTATTCTTTGCAGTTTTTTTTTTCTTTCTCTCTCTCTCTCTCCCTTTTTTACAGTCTCCTTCCAATTTTTTTATGAAAAATTCAATTTTCAAAAGGTTTTCAAATATGGATAATGGAAATGTACGTAATTTCAAAATTTTAAATTTTAACCAAATTTTTTTCCAATGTTTAAAAAAGCTGATATTGTAAGTAGACAAGAAGATAAATTATTATTCATGATGAACTGAATCATTATTTCAACTTCAATTTCGTGAAATTGTTGATAATTAAACTTCTAAATCTTTTTCCTATTTGGATATATATGCGGATTAATTCTTATACTATGCTGCAGAATGAATGAATAGTTTGAATAATAAGTAGTAGTACCATAAGCAATAAATTTTACAATTATTTTAATTGTCGCAATTATTTTCATTTACTTATTGGCTAAGTAATAAGCAATCTAGTAATGGTATGTTATAATGAATCTATCTATGGTAGAGTAAAGGATGGAGTAAATTATGCTTAAAGGATTGAACTTATAAATTATGACAATGGCATAAACAACAAATGACACATTTTTTTAGGACTATTAACTACGTCATTCTCTCGTCTTATTTTACAATCCTTTTTTTTTAAATGAATGAAACCCAATGAAGTTTTGTTTGCAGTAATTTGAGAAAAGAGAAACAAAAACAGAAAAGAAAAAAAAGGGAAAAACCTCATTGTACCGATTAAAAATTCATTCACAATAATAAGATAAACTTTGTAAATTAAATGCAAAACAAATTAACGCAGATAATGATTTCAATATTAAAACTACGAAATTCATTAGGTTAGGAATAGTTGTTAAAAAAAATTTCTTTACTCTTGTCTACATCCATATCTTTATTATCAACTGAATTGATAATAAGATTGTAAACATAAATTAAAGGAAGGATTAGATAAGAAAGAAAATAGAAAGATTTGAAGTTAAACATATAAAGAAAAGATATCTTTAAATTTAAATTGTGATAATTTTTCATTAAAACGGAACCGATCATCCTGTTGTGTATTGATGATAGAAGATGACTAATTGATAATAAAAGTCATTTTCTGTTTCTTGTTCTTTTGTCAATTAAATATGAAAATTTGAAAATTGTTTAGTGTCTACTTCGTTCAGTATGATTTACAGGAAATGTGATATTGTTGTTGTTGAAGATGAAAGGTGTAATTTGGAAGTATTAATCTGAAAATTTTGTAAACATTTAATCTTTGAAATTTCGGTTTAAATTCACGACAGCCAGATTTCAATTTCATTATTTGGTTTGTTAATCGAAGAAACCAGTATGAATTGATTTTGAATTTCTTCCATTTTATCGAATCATTCAATTACAACCTCATCATATCTTTGTTGACAGTACTGTATGTTTAAGGTTAAACTTATTCAACTATGATCAACTACCTTAACTTTTGAAAATTGTTTGAAAGGCATGAGGAACGGATTTTTGCTTAAGCAGGGAAATTATTTAGCTAGAGTTTTCCGTTCTTTTCCCACCTTACTTACAGCATTTTCATAAAGATTGCAAACTTATTGAAGGTCAGAAGGTCAATCTCTTAAGAAATATGACTATTGCAAGATATTACCAGTTATAGATTATTGACCAACCAATTCAAAAGTTTTATTTCATTTCTAAAAGAGTCGTGCGGTGGATTTGTCACAGTCTTATGAAAAGGATAACGTTTAACTTTAAACTCGAAATTTTAAAATTTATTGCACTGCTTGATGACTTGATAAAAAAAGAGGTAACTAAAATATGAGCAATGAATAAAAGGAAAGAAGTTGTGCGTAGAATAGCGTAAATACGGGAATGATATTGATGTCAACCTTTGGTCGAGAGTGAGATGTTGTCAGATATTAAACCGGAAACGATGTAAAGATTGTGTCTACCTTTTTCTACTTCTTTCTTATTTGTCCTTTTTTTTTTTTTTTTTTTTTTAATTCCTCTCTTGTATTCTCTTCCTTTTTATACCTCAGGGAAACCGAAGATTAACTGATAATTAATAATTCATCTTGCAGTTCATGCTACTTTGTTCGTGTTTCCATGGTTATGTTGGTATGCTAATGAGGAAGATATTCGGTTCGCATCCTCCATTGGCTGATGATCGTTTTATGTTGATTTCACGGTCAGCGATGCACAAGTTACATTAAAATATATATGTTCATGCATTCACGTGTATATTTAGGTAGGTGTATGTGTGTGTGTGTGTGTTATGTGTGTGTGTGTGCGTGTGTGTGTGTATGTGTGTGTGTG